ACTCTGGGTCTCTTTCTCAGTCCTCATGAACTTAACCCCAGTTGTAAGTGCCCACCTCCGAGACTCCAGTTGATTATAGTTCTGTTTACGATTGAAATTTTTTTTTCTCTGGCGTGAGCAGCTCTGTCACCTCACATCTGTTTGTGAGTTTTTTTCCGCCAGCAGCTTTATGTAAAGCTGGAAGAGAAATGGAAGAGAAATCGGCTTTGAGTATTCAAGAACATCTTTCTTTCAAANTTTTTTTTCAAATTTAAATTGTTGCCTTTGTAAGGTCTTACCACAATCCCCAGTAGCTTGGTCTCGACAAAAGACTCTTGCTCACGGCAGCCTAAATCTATTGTCATAATACTTACATAAGACGTCTCACACTGCGTTAGACTCTAATACGCCAAAGCACTGGACCCTAAGCGTGAAATCGTAGGAATTCCATCATTAGCTTCAAGAGATCCAACAAATGTACGTCACTCTCACATTCCTCCTTGTACACACATGGTGTCAGGTAATTACTGCCCATGCGTTCTGTCAGATTCGCTGATATGCTTGCATGAGTTGATTTAGTGTGTTTAAGCTCACTGTTTGGGCTGCTGTGAATGGAGCTCTCACCTCCAACCCGTTTGTTAGTCAAGTGGAAGAAAGCTTTTCCGGGGATAATAATCGCTTCAAAAAAATAAGAAGAACTTGCCCACTCAATCCACAACTGTTTGTGGGACAAAGCTGTGCGCAATTGGCTGCCACGTTTCGCTCACAAAATAGTCAGTTCATTTTACAATGTATTCTGTGAAGCACTTTGAGACGTCTCAACGATTTGATAAGGCACTATATCAAACGTAAGGGTTATTATTAAGATGAAAATATTCGATTCATGTTTTGAATGTCCAAAATTGGAAACCATCTGTTCACATTTAGTTCTTTCAGTCTTTTCCTCTGATTCCGTGCCAGTATTCAGTATATTCCATATGAACTTGATGCTAAAGTTGTTGAATATTTTTAGAAGGTTATTAATTTTTTAACCTCTCTCTTAATCATCTCTTGAGGGTCAGTCAGTTGAATTGAGGAGGAGCTTCTTACAACCTCTAATTTTATCCCCCCCCACCACCCCACACACACACACACACACATATACCGTTTGAAAAACATTACAATTAATGATCAGTACATTGCTGGATAAGATCAGAAACAGCAATTGTTTATAATAATAATAATCCTTGCATTTGATATCGCGCTTTTCACGTCGGGAGGACGTCCCAAAGCGCTTCTCAGAACACACTGTAAAGTGAATTGACTGTATATTTGTGGGCGAACGCGGCAGCCAATTGCGCACAGCAATGTCCCACAAACAGTCGTAGATTGAAAATGATCAATTTATTATTGTTTTTGGTTTTGGAGGGATTATTATTAGGCTGTGTGTGGAGTAAGGAAACTTCCCCAAGGTTTCCCCCTACCTGGAATTGAACTCAGGTCTCTCGCTTGCAAAGCAAGTGCTCTAACCACTGAGCTACAGGACTCCTTATAAGCTGGAACATATATTAAAGGACAATTTGGGGGAACAGGAAGCCCTTAGAAAAGGCTCACAATTTTGTAACACTTAGCTGGAAGATTTCACCTCATGTGATATTTATATATTCATTATGTCTAAAATTAGTGTGTTATGTGTTTTCTTAAACACTCAGTATAATGGCGTGATTACAAGCCAGTTCTTTTTCACTAGTGTGGTGGCAGGATGGGACTCTTGAGGCATTGTACCGAAAGAGGTAAAGTGCAGATTTGAGCAACAATAATACCTTGCACTTATATAGTGCCCTCCACGCACAGTAGCGTCTCAGAGCGCTTAACAGTGGTGGAGCCTGACTCCGAGACGGTGGGGAGGGGGTCGAAGAGGAAGTTTTTCAGGTGGAACTTGAAAAAGGGAGAGAGGGGGGCAAGACGGAGGGATTGAGCGAGAGAGTTTCACAGTTTCGGGGCATAGTGGCTGAAAGTGCGACCTCTGATGGTGGGGCGGAGGGTGGGAGGGGCGAGCTGGAGGCCAGTGCCTGTCGAGCGGAGGCGCCTGGTTTTCAATTGGGGAGTGAGGAGGTCGGAGAGGTAGGGAGGTGCCAGAGAGTGAAGGGACATCATTCCCTTCAAAGCCAAACAACAATCAACCGCCACACAGAGACAGGAAAGGAAGATCTGAGCAGTCACCCAGGGCTCTCCCATATGTTATAACAGCTGATTAAAGAACAAAATTGGCGTAAGGCTTGGAGCTGCTCTCCAAACTGTCCTGTTGGCCATGGACGGTGAACAAGGAGACAGAAAACTAGATTACACTTCTTCCCTACACCTCCCTGATTCATAAAATGCTTATGATTGAGATTGATAGTGATTACACTGATTCCCTGCGTCATAATTGGGCTTTAATCATTATATATGGGTGTGAAACTGCTAGGAATCTTAGGGAAATGGTAGGTTTTTTTTGGGTGCGGGGGTACAATTTTTTTATCTGCAAGTATGGGCAAAGAATTTTTATTTATTTCGGGAGAGTTGGAAGCAACAGAGGATGTGTAAGGCAGAAAGAATGGTGGATGCAGGACACATTAAGTGTGTGTGGGTTGGAGGGTAGAATAATAGTTGGACAACAGAGTGGTGATGTGGAACAGAAAGGAGTCTGATAAGTTTATGCACAGGTCATACAGACATGCAACATAAAAAGGACCAAATTTCTGTTAGTTTCACATTCACAGTATTAATACGTCAACGTGCATCCCAGAAGTGTTAATTGTTGATTTTGGCTTTTCACTCCTTTGTAGTAAATATTGGTGTGCCGTTAAGCTCCCATTAAACATTTACTCTTTGGCTAACGCAGGTTGTTGCGTTTGACTGCACATGAATAAAATTACACTTCAGAACAAAATCGGATTCCCTCGCAAGATTACGCATCAGGTTCTTCCCATCTGCGGATTATTAACCAGAGATCAACCCGTGTCAGTGGTGTTAATCTCTCACTTTAAGCAACCCCTGGACTATCTAAAGTTTCAAAGCATTTCCAGCGAATGTTTTAATGATCCATCCGGAAACAAGAATCTGAGGATCAAGTCTAGGAAACGCCTGAACTAATGTTATGAAGAACTTTCTCATCCTGCAGGATTTTTGACACGGGATGTTGTGCAATAAAATGACATGTTGCCAAAAAGGGGGTAGTGCCTAGACTCACCATTGTAAGTGTTGAGGGTGGAGGCTGAAGAATTTGATGTGGGTGGACTGTCACTTTTTTGGGTGATACCGAGACGATTCTGGCATGAATTTTGAAAAGGTCACCGGAAGTAGTTTTACACGACTCCCTCAAGCTCTTAATCGAGTATTCTGTTTGTTTAAATCAAGCGTGTCTTGAGTTCGCAAACCTCTATTTGTTATTTTCCACTCAAACCACAATGACTAATATATAGTTTCATGCATATTATTTCTTGTCAGTGGTCTTACCAACTGAAATGTGGTTCTAGTTATTTTTGCAACGCCAGGAAATAAGCAAAATGTTCTTTGTTTCATAATATGGATACATGAAATATTCTACCAAATAATGGATTAGAGAGATGAGGGAGGGAGAGAGGGTAAAGTGACTGATGGGACAGTGGACATGAGGCCGTCCTGAGATGGTGGAACAGAGGGAGTGGACGCGGCAATCAATTTTTTATAAAAAGCAGCATTGAATTAATCGATTGGTTGTAGTGATTGATAGGTACGTGACCTTGGGAATTGCAGAGATATCCGAAAATAAAGTGTGGGTTCTTATCAACCCAGGCCTGGCCTTTATTATTTTTCTCCTTCACAAAATAGAGAGATTCCATATCTTGTGGATCATAAACCATGATGATGAGATACAGTGTACAATTCCTTTATGACTCCCTGGTGTAGTGCTACATCTGTTGTAGTGCAATTGCAGCGATTTGCGCCTACCAACAGTGGGCCTTTGTTTGCCTGGGGGGGTGCAGAATGGGTAAACGGCAATTCACTTGTTCTCCCTCATCGAACTGTTTTGACTATAGGTCGTATCCTATAAAACTTGCACTTTCAATCCCAATGTTGTTTGTTTTCCTGTGGACTTCTCCCACTGACCAGCATTCCCGGCTGATTCTCCTTCCCCTGTCGATCTCAGCCGGGTTGCGTTTGCGGTGCTAAAATTGGACTTGACTCCGCTATTGCCAGGCCAGCTGAGATCAGTCAACGCAGTAACATAGGTTGATATGCCTTCGTATTTGCTTAACACCCCCCCCCCCCCCCCCCCCGCTGCCTCCGCTTGGCTGGACCCCTTCCTCCCCACCCCGCTGCCATCCCCCCACTCCCTGTCCCCCTGGCTCTGGGTCAGATTCCGCCACTATATAAATGGGTGCTATATATTTATATATATATATATGTATAGCAAGTTGTGGTAAAATTAATGATGCCAGTAACAGAAACTGCTGACTCCTGATTAACATTACAAACTTAAAGATGTCTTTTTTTTTTGCTGTGGCACAGTTGAGAAATTCATAGAATCTTACAGCACAAAACGAGGCCATTCAGCCCATCTCTTTGAAAGAGCTACCAATTAGTCCCACTCCCCCACTCTTCTCCCATCGCCTTGCAATCTTTTTTTCTTTTCAAGTATAAATCAATCCAATTCCCTTTTGAAAGTTATTATTGAATCCGCTTGCACCATCCTTTCAGGCAGCGCAATCCTGACCGTAACAACTCGCTGCGTTTATATAAAAAAAAACCTCCGAGTTTGGTTCTTTTGCCGAGAAATTGTTAAACTTTTATTGAAGTTTGACGACATTGCCTCAGGCTCGTTGCAGGTATATTGTGGGCCGAAGCTGTGTGAGACCACCTTCTTGAGGAGGACTCGGAGCACTAATGGGAAACTGAATTGTATTCACTATGAGCCTGCTACGAGTGGTTAAGGATTTTAAGGATCGCACTGCATCCGCTGTTGTACGTGTGCCGTCGTTTGTGCTGTGTAAAACGAGTGATATTTTCTTTTATTCTAGGGATGCTGGTGGTTATTGTGTTGCTGCTGATTGCCATTGTTGTGGTTGCTGTCTGGCCAACCTAAATGAAGCAACTCTGGCACAAATCGACGCTCTGTCTCTTCAGTGAATTGTGGCATTGGATACAAAATGAGCGGCTCGTTCTTCCTAACTAATTCCTGACATCACGGAGACAAGATTTAAACTTACACGTTATTCAAGCAATACTATACTTTTTGATAGGTTTAATACGCTATCCTCCTGTTAGCTAGCACTAATGAACCCGCAGATTGTTTTCTGACTAAAGAACAAACTAAACTTCAAATTCAATACAGTAATGAATTGCTGGAGCACCTCAGGCTGAGGTAATGTAGTATCTAAGGGCTGTAACTAATGGCTCCTATTTATCTTGTGTTTTTGGAGCACTTGCCTTTTGTGTTTCTCTATCTGCATGTACATATGTTTTTCTCTTTAAATAGGTTTAGGCACAGCCCCGCTGCGAGCACATTGAAGTGCTGTTTCCTTTGCCAAAGGCATATATTAAAATCTCCACTAAATCATCGTAAGTTGTTGAGAAATATTTGGATAAAGTTTTTTTTAAAACTTTTAAGTTCTAAAAGACAACTACTGGAATGCATCAAAACCTTTTTACATGTATTGATTTGTTACTGTCCTATTTCTAATTTTATCTTTTATATCAACGAGGTGGACACGGCAATTGTAAATGATTCCTGTTAAAGGCGGCGAGGCCCTTACTAACTCACACAATTACTCTGCATTCCCTGGGAAAATGATTTTCTCCGTGCTTGCAGGGTCAGTGAAGGGGCTCTTCTGAGGGCACAGGGAGTGTGCGCTATCTCACGCCTTGTAAACAGTGTTACTGTTCACACGCTTTCATGAAATTGAAACTTGGAACAAATTGCCCTGTGTGGAAATTCCAATCTCACAGAACAGTAATTACGCAGATTTCCCCATAATTCGATCATGTTACGTGCTTGGACCTGCATTGTTATGTGTTCGATTTTTGTAAGAGTTTACTAACAGAATCCTAAACATGGGATAAAATGAAGAGAAATAAATATTTTGCAACAGCTTTTACTCTGTTTCTTTGTGTAACATTGTTAACATTCTTTGATAAGATATATGTATATATCTATAGTCGCAAAATACGGCAACCTCCCTTCTATCTTTAACTGGATACCAACCTTTAAATTAAAAATCTTCTATTTGTTTCTGGTAAGTAACATTCAAAGACAAGGGACAAAATGAGACCATTGATCCATCTGTTTGTGTTTGCTGCTATCGATGGGTGATCAAAAGATTCTGAAAACTTTGATTTCTAGTTAATTGTTGTTATTGATTGTTTTCCCTCATCCCTAAGAAGTTACCTTTGTGTCTGGCTTCCAGATTATATAAAATCTGTCGTCCGTTTGTGGTGACACCAAGATGCATAGTAGATTCATCAGGATGACTTTAAGATGAGAATAGGGCATCAAATCAGATGCAAGTTTTTTTTAACGCTTTTTAACATATTTTATGTCCTCCTAAATGTTCCTTCTGTGTTCCATGTTACTTTCCCCCCCTCCCTCTCCCCACCACCTGCTACTAAATTCCCTCAAATAAGCCCCCATAATAATATTGCTTTGTATTGTGGAATCTTACAGACGTAAGAAGATGGTTTCAAGAAAGGTATCGAGTCTCATTCAAGCTTCACATTTGGGTTGATGTATTTGAACTTCTTCACTTTTTGCTGCCTTTTAATGCGCAAAAGAAGAACGATTTTAATCCTTTTCAAAACCTGTTTATCATGGCTTAATGCTTTCATTTGTCAGGATTCCATTTTGCTTTCTGTCGGTGCTGTTTTGCGTCTTGTGTGTGTGCAAGTCAAATCCACTTCAAGAAAATGCAGACCAAGTTCTGTGATATTGTTTACAAGACTTTATTCAACTGAATTCTGGATTTAGTTCTATCAAGTGTGGGGTGTTCAGCAGTTATAGTACATTTTCACGTCTGGTTCAATTACAGCCATCTAACAACCAAAAAAAAATCCACAATTTTTTTTTATGTGTAATTAAATATATTCATATATAATAATGATAATATATTAGTATGCATTGTAGGAAAACATTGAAAACTATGCAGTGATCATAACTAAACAACATTTACAGTTCAACTTATTAACAGATAAAAGCAGAGCCCGACAGGTCTGTGTAACAGGGGAGATCGTCGTTATAAAGTCTAGGTTAGCAGGAGTATGGCTGAACTGATATAAAATTCTTTATCCAGAACTACATTACATCAATATAAACACACCTCGAATAATGTCAGTCAATGCAGTCGCACACTAAATGTGCAGCCGTGAGGTACCTTGAGGATGTTTACCCTGTTACAGAACTCATTCTTTTCTTTAGTACCTCTTATTTCTTCAGACTTAAGGAATCTACTTCATACGGCATTTTTAAAATTGTACGATATACTGGTTTAATGTTAGTCACTTCTACTTTATATTTCTTAGCCCGTAGTTGTGAGTTAGAGAATGAGTTGCACGCACTTGTAAACAGGGTCACAGTAAAGGCAAGGGTCATTCATGCGACCTGAGTTGGCTGGTTAATGGAGACACTGATCGGCAAGGTTGATATGTCACTTTGCCCCAGTAGAACTGAAATCATTCATGGTAAGTTATTGACCGTAATCACATCCACAGTTCGAACTGTAAACATGCAGGTGTGAAGTTTACTGTGCAAGGCAATGGATCAGAACCAACAGGTCTGTCGGGGGAATATGGGGAAGGAATTGGATACATCCTCTAGGTTGTATTTTTTTTATCTAAAAGATTACATTTTCTGGCTGCGAGTAATTTAAAATCTACCCAGGTCTTTCAATGAAGTACTACCTATACAAATACAAAACTTTAATGAATTTGACTATATGTTACTTTTCTTTCGTAGAAGGATAAAAGAAGCCAGTGAATTTGCATTTTTTTTTCTTGTTCTTGTGCAGCAATACTAGCACTTTCGTGAACCTGTAACAGAATTCATTTGAAAAGAAAATATAGCTTTATTTCGGCAAAATTTATACTAAGAGTTTTTCTATTTGAATACAGTATTTCTTGCGTGTATTGATTTGTATTTACCCTCCTTGACGCTCTTTTGCAGCTAGTCTTTCTGCAGACACAAAAGTGGATCCAATTTATCATAAAATTCCTCTGTAGAATAGATTCATAATAAGCTCAGAGAATTTCTGATCAAAGGGACATTGGCACGATGCTTTAATCACGAGGCAGAGTGTGGCGTCCAGTATTTTAGCACTTAGAGCTAAATGAATGTCGGCAAACTTGTCGAGAGGTGAAATGAAGGTAGGGAGAAAGTAAAGGAAACAAAATATTGTAGTGGCACTGTGAAGTTTTAGAAAGTTTTTCTTTACTCTTTAAAAACATTGGGAGTTAGCAATACAATGCCCATAACAATTGCCCATAAGGAGACTGTGGTTCTCCACAGGCTAGCTTACAGTATAGCACTGCATTCCACATGCTGAGTGTTAACCAGGGCTCGGGAAGAAGGCAGAAACTGAAACAGTTCAGGTTAATTATATCGTTAAAAAGTTAACAACTTGGTCAGAATCAAAGCAAATGCTGGCACGAGACCTAGCGCTTAATCCGGAATCAGAGTTTATGATTGTGTGTTTTCCCCCTTTAACGAAACTCAAACTGCTTTATATGCAGAAAGAGCAAAGAAGTGAAAGTATTTTGGTTGTGTAACCACACTGGTCTTCTTTTTCAGAAGATACAGAGCTGTTATGTAAAGAGAAGTCCATCTTTATTGTAATTTCATTTATTTTTTGAATTTGAAATCAGCATTAGATGCAAACTCGGCAATTCCAAAAATCCCAAACTGCCAGATGAATTCCTTCGCAAGTTCCTAATTTTATCCTAACGTCTGCTCCTGCTCACACTCAAGCAGCACAGTCTCTTTCTATGCCTTTTTGCACTTGCCTTTCTTCTCCCTCTGTTGGAATTTTCGCAGCCTCCTCGCCCATGTGTCCCTCCATTGTATCACCAAACTGTTTTTGTTCGCTACGACCCCATTCTGGTCTGGAGAATCCTCGTCGTTTCCTAAGATCAGGTACTTCTTCCCCGTTTTTATTTTCGGACACCGGCAGGCGATGTCCTTGGAGCGGACCCAGAGGAATTGATCTCCTCGCCGTATCCGTTTGCCTCCCTGTTTGTACACCGAGATGATGTTCACGATAAATTTCCACCAGTCGCTGGCTTTCTCTGCCTTCAAAATGTGGGCTTGGACAGCTACAGGGAGGGGGTGGAGGAAGGGGGTAGAAAAGAAGACAGTGTAACCATATTGAACAGATTATCTCAGCAGTTCTCCATCTATCCGTGGAGTCCTTTCGCTCAGTAGTCTTGAGCGCTCGGCTTGCAAGCAAGAGGGCTTGGGTTCGATTCCCGGCAGGGCGAAACGTTGGGCAAGTTTCCGTACTCCACACGCCTATGGTTACTTGGCAGTAAGTAGGAACCCGGTTGTAAGTCGATTGGCAGATCGCTTTTACGGGGAATAATAATTCCTTTTTAAAAAAAATTGGGTCACTCAATGCACAGCTGTTTGTGGGACGCTGCTGTGCACAATTGGCTGCTGCGTTTCGCCCACAACACACAGTCAATTCACTTTACAGTATATTCTGTGAAGTGCTTCGGGACGTCTCGGAGATGTGATAAAGCGCTATATCAAATGCAAGGATTATTATTATTATCATCTGTAGCTATGGCCTGAGTTTCACCCACGCTTGCTTGGGTGACGGCAAGTTGTTACCCTGACAACTGTTTCCACAGTATTCTGGGGAAAGAGGACACAGCAAAAGGTATTGGAAAAGATGCTAACAAGTAAATAAGACTTAACATTTGACTGCGGATGTAGCTGCAACTTTAAAAGCCAATTTTCACCCACATACAAGTATTTATAGTTAAGCAACGTAGTGAATTCTTCCTGGACAGCACCATGAAATGTTAAAATGGGATTTGGGAGTGGCGAGAGCAGGCAGGCTAGGTGGTATGCCTTACAAACATTACAGTGCCTCTATTCCGGGGTAATAACTAAAACTAGAGGATGGTTACAAGGAATGTGATTGTCTGTACCTCGGGGAAATTTACTGCTTGCTGTTAGTTGTCCAAACAGTAACCCGCAATGTCCTCGCATTCCTTCAACTGCAATTGTGAGAAGCCTGAAGCAGATTTGGTTTGCAGTTTGTCACTGTCCCCAGTGTCTCGAGCTCTGCCCTGATCACGTGCCTTTGTGTTGTACATTCTCTCTCTCTCTCTCTGTAGATCATTCTGTATTATAAACTTCTTTTACCTTCCCGACAAACAAAGCACCACTTAAACTTTCCAGGCATTATTATTCTGCCTATATTTTGCTTTTTCTGAGTAAGGCAAGTATTAATTTTAAACTGAAAAGCATTTTTAAAATCTCACACGATACTTATTGCTCTTTTCCATCATTAGGAAGCAAATATGTATGCCTAGCTGCCCACGTGTTGAATGCAGCCCGCCTGTGCAATCCTGCAACCCTCACAGACCTTATTCGATAGGAAATTCATAGGAAGTCGCTCCACTTAAGAGCCAGCCAACTTTCAAGCGATTACCTCTCATGAGCATTTTAGCGCTTGCATCGGTTCCAAAGACAAAGAGTAATTTAAAGTGCTGCTTCTCACAAGAGTTGTGTCGGTTAAAAGCAGAGGGTTGTTGTAAAATCCCCAACTACATTTGTGGGGTGAATGTAGTCAAGAGCTCATAATATACCATGCCTGGATGATTCCCTGGTGCTCTACCTGTTTGCACAGACAACCCTTCTAAAAGAGTTCAGTGCTGAAAGACTGTCCAGCTGATTTGGTCACTTTTGCCTCCAGATCAAAAAGGTTGGAGAATCAAGATTCCCCCATCAGGACGTATCCTCATAGTCTCAGCTGAAGGGGCATTGGTTTGTCAGATGTGCATCTGTTGGATATGATATATTACAACTGAAATTCAATTCAGGTGGATCTTATTGATTAATTGATAATTAATTAAGTGGAGTCCTGTAGCTCAGTGGTTAGAGCACTCGCCTTGCAAGCGAGAGACCTGGGTTCGATTCCCGGCAGGGCGAAACCTTGGGCAAGTTATCTTACTCCACCCGCCTGATAATAATCCGTCAAGAAAAAAACATAATAAATTGGTCATTTCAATCCACGACTGTTTGTGGGACACTGCTGTGCGCAATTGGCTGCCACATTTTGCCCACAAATATGCAGTCAATTCACTTTACAGTCTTCTGTGAAGAGCTTTGAGACATCGAGAAGATGTGAAAAGCGCTATATCAAATGCAAAGCTTATTATTATTTGATTGATTGTTCACCTCACAGCAGTTTATGGGATTTTGCTTGTGCAAACGGCTGCCACATTTGCTTACAAAACATTCACTATACTTGGAGATAAGTATGTGTGAAGCACCTTAGGATATTTTGACACATGGCATTATAAAAATGCAAAGTTCTTTCTTATTCTGAGTTTCTAGCCGTTTTTAATTATGATGTGCAACATAGAATCATAGAAATTTACAGTGCAGAACAAGATCATTCAGCCCATCATGGAGTCCTGTAGTTCAGTGGGTAGAACACTCGCCTCGCAAGCGAGAGAGCCGGGTTCGATTCCCAGCAGTGCGAAACGTTGGGCAAGTTTCCTTATTCCACGCGCCTCCGTTTACCTAGCAGTAAGTAGGAACCCGGTTGTTAGTCGATTGGCGGATTGCTTTTCCGGGGGTAATAATCCCTTTAACAAAAAAAACAGTCTGCGCTCTGTGAAAGAGCAATCCGTTGAGTCCCGTAATGAGAACAGAAGAGTTTCCGAATGATTCAATTACACCTTTGTGTCAGTGCGAGTTTTGTGAAAAGGAGCGATGAAGCTGTTCCACCAACAACTGACCTCTCTTCCGAGCAGAAGGAAATCTGCCGAGTGCAAGGGATGACCGAAGGGCAGAGGAAGCTCATGGGAAAATGCATTTGGCAGAACTCAATGGAAGGTAATGCTGCTTGAAATAACAAAAGTGATATCTCGTTCTGAAAATTTGTTTGGAAAGCTTCATCTGTCTGGGAGTATATTGTTTCCAGTGTCACGGTACAGGAATTAATAACAAATGTATTTTTGTCTATGTTCCTACAATATACATTTCTTATGGCAAGGAAGATTTCAAGACATGGAAAGAGTGGTCAAGTATGACGCCCTCTGTTCCTTGACCTGACTTGTTCTCTCTCACTTTGGAGGAAAAGGATCCTGTGTAACATAAATAGACGAACTTTGATGTCGCCACCCATTGCCTTGAGTCTGTCTGTGTGTGTTGGGTGTTGGCTGCACACCACACCCTCTGCGCCCTGCACTCTGTGGCTAGGGAGTGGGAATCCACCACCAGATAAACACCATGGCCATGGCTTTTACAGCTGTGTTCATCATCCACTGTGTGTGTGTCTGATGTAACTACAGCTCAAATCACTGACCGCATCTGTAGCATAAATCAACAAAGAATGAATCAACAGGAACAATCCTCTTTTGATTAGCAGCGGAAAAATGTCATAAAGAAAGAAATTAACTCTTAAGTTGTATTGCCGGTCTAAATTTGCTGTGGGGACATTTTTAGTTTGGTCTTCATCGAGACATGCATCAAAAGCACTTGTAACTGGGGGCCAGAATGAAGAATCAACAATAATTTATCAATGGATTAACACTGTGCAACACCTGACCAGTTTGACTCAGTGGCACTTATCTCTGAGGGGTTTGAGCCCTGAGGCAGGATTTGACACGTAATGTAGAATGGCAGTAACGTGTAATGTACAGTAATGAGGGAACTTGGCATTTTCCTTTGGGTGAGCTGTCATATCGAGGCTACGTCTGCCTGTTCTGGTCATCCAAGTCGCTGTTAAAGATCCCATGGCACTACTTTGAAAAAACGATCCCCACAAAGCCAAATGAATTGTCCATTTATTCCGTTTGCAAGTCATGGATGGCTACATCTGCCTACAGAATAGCGAGTGCACTCTGAAAGTAACTCGTGTGTGATATACTTGGATGGCGAGTGAGGTAATAAGGGGTTTACAGTTGTCGAAATGATACTGAAATTCAGGCACCAGAGAAAAGAATATCTGAGCCAGAATCTTAACTTGCCAGGGTTGCAGATGGGATATTACAATCGGCTTTTGTGTGCGTAGGTTAGGAAATAATCATCAGGTGAACATTGGGCGAGAACTCGATCAGACTGTGATGCCAAATCCATGGTCAATTACACTTGGGTGAAACGCACTGTGTGGTCTCCCACCCAAGGAACGGTCACTTGGGTGAAGCACTGGCTTTTGGAAACATACTCCAGCAAGAGCCAATACCTTCAAAGGAGGGAAAGGGGCAGAATATTGGCATGGAAGAACAGAAATTATTCTTATGTGCATTACGTTCATGGGCTGTGTCATTAAAGCCGTACAGTTTGAAGGTCTTTCTTTCAGGATAAAGGGAACAGTCCAAAGGTAATTTACTTGGAGCTGGTCCTGCACACCTTCCAAATGAATGAACAAAAAATATCGGCAGAGACCTTGGAACGAGTTGTCTGAGCCCGCTCTTAGCTAGCAATTGAGGCGTAACGCTGGGGGACCTTAACCAAGCGGCAGCAAGCAGCAAAATAAAGGAGGTAAAAGTATTCAAAAGGTTGAGACACTGGTAATGCAGAGAGGTCCAATAAACCGAGCAGTAGCGCGTTGGACTCCCAAATCCAAGAGTCTGAAAATTTAAGCCTCGTTGGGCAGTTTCACCAGTTTGCAACCACCAGGTGGCGGACTGCACAGGAATAGAATAACTGTGTCTCAGCAAGGGAAATTTGACTTTACACGCCTTGGGTCTGCAATCATCAAAGCTGGTACTTTCCAGGATTGTAAGCAGGGTGCGACCCGCCAAGTAGAGAGTACGCATTCCGTTCCAACAATCTATCTCTGGAATTTCCATGTGTAGGTGGGATGCATAATTCTCAGCTTGGTTTGGATACTCTTAAGCCTGATGATGGGTTTCCACATGTGTCAGACACCCGGCTGACCAAAAAACACCTGTTTGAGGATGGGCATGACTGCTCAGAGTTGGAAGAACGGCACTAATGCAAAAAAAACGAGATTTTTTGTATTATTGTATCATGGGAATGTCGAATAAGCAGCTAAACTAGACCAGGGGCAGAAATGTGTATAAGTATGAATGAGATGGACAGAGAGAGAAATAAAACTAATGTTATCCAG